GGTTCAAACCCACCAGCCACTCCGAGGAAGGAAGACTGGGCAATCTACTTCCACAAAGATTTGTTGTTGTTATGTGCCATCAAGTTGGACCCGACTCATGGAGACCCCTCCTTAGGTTTCCAAGGCAGTTATCACTACAGAAGTAGATTACCCAACCTTCCTTCTGAGGAGTGGCTTAGGTACTACACTACCAGAGCTTCGTAAAGATTTACCACCTCGGAAACCCAATCAGGGTCGCTATGAGTCAGAATCGACTCAATGGCAGTGAGTTTGGTTTTTTTTTTTTTTGGTTTTGGTTTTGGTATAGTGATTAAGAATAAAATTTGGAAAATAGCCCATTAAACATGTAATTCCTTTTTTCAAAGAATCCTTTTTTCTTTGTACAGATACAATATACACAAACTGACCACCACATGTATGCAGTTTTATTCGCACTTGGCAATAAACAGCAATATTACAAAAATGAAGACTTCTTTGACTAAGCCAAGGCAGCCTGAGTGCCAAGCATCTAAACCCCCCAGCCACTCCACAGGAGAAAGATGAGGCAGTCCACTACCATAACGATGATGGCCTTGGACACCCTATGGTTCTACTCATCCTAGAAGTTTCTATGAGTCAGAACCAATTCATTGGCAGTAGGCTTGGGTTTTGGTTTAATAAAACATACAAGGGGCAAAGTTATGAAAACTTCTTAGCTATAACCAAATACCTTGAGGGAATGAGTCACTCGGCTTGGGTACATAGTAGGACTACAGTCTTGGGGGGACATCTAAGTCAACTGACATAACATAGCCCACAAAGATAATGTTCTACATCCTACTTCAGTGAGTAGCGACTGGGCTCTTAAAAGCTTTCGAGTAGCCATCTAAAATGCAACTATTGGTCTTTCTCCATCTAGAACAATGAAGAGTGAAGAAAGTCAAAGACTCAAGCAAACTTTCCAAAGTCTAGTGGACCACACTCACTTCAGCCTCCACTATCCGAGGATCAGTGCCTGGCTACCACTATTGATCGCTCTGATCGGGATCACAACAGAAGGTCCTGAACCGTATGGGAGAAAAACGTGAAACACAACTCAAAAGCATAAAAAAAAAGGACCAGACTTACTGGTCAGATTGAGACTGGTGGAATCCCCAAGACTATGGCCCTTAGACATCCTTGAAACCTGGAACCAAACCCACCACTAGGCATCACTTTTCAGCCAAACAACAGACAGGCCTATAAAGTAAACAATAACACCCATGATGAACATGCGCCTCAGGACAATCAACCAAATGAGACCAAAAGGGCAGCATTCACCCAACAGCAAAGCTCACAAAGCAGGAAGGAATAGGAAAGAAGGACTAATGGAAACGGGAACTCAGGAAGGAAGTGAGAAGAGTGCAACTATATTAAAGCATTACAACTAACGTCACAAAATAAAATATGTATCAACTGTTGATTGGAAAACTAACTTGTTCTATAAACTTTCAATTGTTGTTGTTATGTGCCGTCAAGTCAGACCCGACTCATAGCGACCCCTCCTTGGGTTTCCGAGGCAGTGTCACTACGGAAGTAGATTGCCCCATCTTCCTTC